TCCTAGCAGCCTAATGCCTGCTCTTCTGAGATTAATCCACTTACTTGAAAAATCCATCCTCCTATCAAATATATTTTTGGGCTGAAGCCCCTTGACTTTTTGCCCCCTTTAAGGTAGTCTATGCCTGAGTGTATGAATCCGATTTTACTTTTTATTGTTTTTTATTGGTTTGCCATGGACTCTAACTAGTTCATCTTGCATACGACTTTAATAGCCAAGAAGACAAAGGCTTCAGCCATGCATGCAAAAAAGGGAAAATGTGAACAGGTTACTGCAGTACCTAGAGATTTAAAGTTGCTTTCAACGTTAATGCTGCTCAGAAGCCCAACATCTGTCAAAGCTAAGATGCTCTCACAGAAAGATAGGAAGAAAACAAGTAAAGGTGCAGGGGGTAATGCTACGGTGCAGCACCACACTATTTAATAATGTTCATATAGCATATACAAATGTCTGAAGTACATAGTGAAACACTGCACATACAGACTCAGGGCACCAGGACCACTTCAAATCACGGAAGTTTTTTTTAGCAGATTCCTTCATTTATTTTTTTTCTGGACACACATCACAGTGACATTCTCTTGGGTATTAACATGCAAAGTGTTCATGTAGCATTTGCAGGCTGCTGGAGTGAAATTAATTAGACAGAGTACATGTATTTAGGGACCCTCAATGATCAATTCATTGCTTTTACTACAGCTGTCTATGTGGGCTATACATTACATGGCAGCACATTTCATGCACAGTCCAACATGTTACCAAAAACATGGGAGAATAAGGAAGCCCTAACTGCAGCACATGTCCTGCTGCTGCCTGGGGACAATGGGAGTTTTTTTTATTTTTTTTATTTTTTTTTTTATTTATAATCTTTATTCGGAGATATCATCTCCACTTTTTTATTTTTTTATTTTTTAACACAATAAAGTTTGACAAAAAAGAAGATAAAATTAACAAAACATCCCATAAATCCCAAATCACGGAAGTTAAAATTGAAAAGTTGATTTGTTTTGGTTTGTCATTGCTCCACAAAGTATAAAAAAAACTAATGATAAATATAAGTGCTACTTACCGTAGTGCCTGAATGTTGCAGAATGTGCAGATTTATCCTGTTGTTCCTTTAGGGCTACACATTTCAACCACTCGAAACTTCCCTAATTGAATTGATATTGCTGAATATCTTGCTGCACATCTGCAACAGACAGTTGGTTAAGAGGTGAGCACTGTATTGTATTTCAATAATTTTGAAATAAAATCACTAAAGCTTGTCTTACCAACATTTCTTTGAAAAAACTTGCCAATGCTCAATCTATTTTACAACAGATGATTTTCGGAAACATTGATTTAGTTTGATTTAAGAGCATCTATATCAAAGCAGGTCAGCTCAGGATTTAGATTCAGAACCGTGATTGCCACTGACGTAAGTAGTGGACCTAGTCAGAGAGGTAGGCAAAGTTCAGCTCTACAGATGTTGTGGACTGCATCTCCCAGATTGCTCTTACAGCCATAATAGTGGCAAAGCAGCAGGGGAGATGTAGTCTATTGTATTGTAGATGTAGCAGTGACGGTGCAAGGATTTCTGCCGCCCTAGGCAAAGATCCATTTTGCCGCCCCTTCATGTCACTCACTCACTGACAGACACACACACGCTGACACACATACACTCACTCACTGACACACACACTCTGGCTCTGACAGACATACACTCAATCACTGACAGACACGCACACACACACGCACACACAAACAAACACTCACTGACGGACATACACACACACTCACTCACTCACTGACACACACACATTCACTCACTGACAGACATTCACTCACTGACACACACACACTCACTAACACACATACACACACTCACTAACACACATACACACACTCAATGACAGACATACACTCACACACTCACTCACTGACAGACACTCACTGACAGACACACACACACACACACACACAGGCAAACACTCACTCACTGACAAACACTCACCTCCCTGGGGTCCATTGTGGAGCAGCTCCTCACTCCTCCCACCCGCTGTTTAGTATGCTGGGGGCCAGAATGACATCATATTCTGGCTCCTGGCATTACAGAGGGCGTGCGAGGGAGGAGTGAGAGGCTTCAAAAAGAGCCTCCCTTGCTGCCTGCCTGCTCCATCCCCTCTCCTCCGGTCACCGGCATTTGATGGCAGAGCAGGAAATATCCCGGTGGGTGCCCCCTGCAGGCCGGCGCCCTAAGTGAATTACATCTGGAGTGCCAAAGGTTGCCTAACCCTGATAGTGCTCCAAACTCACCGGCATGTAATATAGTCACGAAATAGAGTATAGAGCCACTCTTCAACAGGGGAGTAATTATATGCTTTACTCGCTTAAACACTATCAGCTTGAAAGGGCCAGAGTTATTTAAGGAGATAATTTATATAAGTAGATGTTGCTATTCCTGTTTTAGATAGGGGTTAATGTTAACTAGCATTGCAAAAGAACAAACTAAAAAAAATTATAAATAAAAAAGTGGAGTGTAATGAATACCAGTCAATCTAATTATTTGTAACTTTAGCAATCGATGACTTAACAAAACCATGTAAGCAGGGACAGCATTAGGAGATTGTGCATCCAAAGTGACTTTTTAGGAGAAATCTGTTTTCCTGGACTTTTCTTCAGGTCCATAATATCACGCAGTATTTTACAAGTTGTATGCAAACTTTGTGCAAACCTTAGTGCTTTGCCCCTGTAAATCCTTGTTGTTTACCCAAAGTACTGTCTGTAAAGGATTTTAATTTAGTAAAACATTCTATAAAGACAGCTCTGTAATTACATCATTCTCTGCAACATAGAATCAGTGCTATTAAAGACAATGGCTTCTGATTGCTTTCACACTCGCCTCTATTATACTTGTCATAATAAATCCAGCTGATTTTTTTCTAATAGGAAAACGATCCAAAAATTAAGCAAAGTGATAAATGTCACAAGTAAACTAAACAAAAAGTAGACGGAATAAAAAGGATTTGCCAGTGGACTCTTTTTAACATGTCTGAAACTATAGCAAAGGGTATTGCTAGGACAAAATAAATAAATAATAAGTGGGGTTATAAATCAAATATTACTTGCACAGCAACTCAAGCCCTAGTCTAGTGTATAAACTTCAATGAGATTGTTATTATTACACCTTGGCAGTAAAGTGTAAGATCTCCTGCTAGCATAAAGGCATATACTTTATTGATTTAAAATGTTCTATACATTTATCCTGTCTTGTACTGAGTCCAGAGTCAGATCTATGTTGATAATATGGGTTTCTTATAAAATACTACACTTCTGGAACACATGAGGGGAGGTAGCTTTTATTGTAATAATACTGTGAAATTCAAGAGAGCAAATAAGAACATATGTTAGTGCTCAAACTCCCATCACTCCTAAACAATGAATGTTCAAACTCCCATCACTCCTGAGGATCTAGTAAAACCGTTTTCACATGATTCAATGCATCAGCTGAGAGGGAAAGATGAGAAATTAAACAGGCATCGAATAACTTTGTTCATGTAAGATTTATTATGTATAGCTCTGGGTAGTGCTTATTTGTAAAAACAAAGTATTATGTCGGTGCAAATGCTTATTATTATTTCATAATAAAATTTCAGAGTGCTGTAGCATTATGGGAATTAATACAACAGGACACAGTCATATCAATAAACAAGACTTCATTACAGCATTGTCTGTGATTTACTAGGGATGGGTACAATAGGTGATATCTATATGTTTACACAACTGGATTGCTGTTCAATTAATCTTTGAGTGTACAAATTTTTGTATTTACTACATACTGTGTTAGCAGTTTCAGGAGTACCTTATCACTCCCAGCCTATTGAGTTTGAAATGATTGGGAACCTTGTGCAGTGGATGAAACACTATGTATAGGTTTGCCATACCCACTGTAGAATTAATATGCTCTTTGATTAATAACTTGATATCCTCCCTGCATAATTTGAATGCTACATACTATATGTCAATGCCTTTCATATGCTACTCAGCAATATGTATAAATAATATATGTCTGATGAAACATGGTGAATATGGAAAACGTAATTATCGACCATGACTGAGTCCACAATCCCAAATTAATTGCTAACAATTCAAACTAAAGGGAAGAGCCTCCCTCTTAGAATTTGGCCAATTATTGGTCTTTACAAGTAATTCCTGTTGCTGAAGTGCAGAACTTTGCTCACTAGATGGGCTCTTATGATCAATGCGCTATTTAGGACAGGGTTCCCCAAACGGTAGAGCCCCATATATTTTAAAACTACAACTTCCACGATGCTTTGTCATTTTAAAGGCTTGCAAAAAGTTCTGCATCATGGGAGTTGTAATTTTACAACATCTGGGGATCTACCATTTGGACACCCCTGATTTAAGACAACAAATAATCTTTCAGAGCCTGTATCAAATTAAAAGATTTCTTGTCCATCTTTTAGCCATTTGTACTGTAAAACCTTTCCCTCAAATGCATTCCAATTAATGGACACATAAAATAATCAATTTACAGCACTTCATTGAAAATAATTGACAGTACAAGACTGAGCATTCCCCCAGACTTTGACAAAGTACTAAATCACATTCCATAGTATTCAAGACATAATCTACAGTTGTTTTATTAAGGCCAATGTTAGAAAAAGAAACTGTTCAGTAATTGCACATTCTTATTCTTAAAACAGCATTGACCTTAAATTTCCAGTTCTTCCAGTCGGTGTTAATATTCAGCTGGCAGGTGAAGCAGGAGTGTAATTACTTGAGTATATGAGAAGAGGATCAGTGGGGAGAGTTGGAATTCCTTTTCTGTGTGCATGCAAACTTGTCCAGAAAGGCACTACACGCCCTCTAGTGGCAGGAATACACAAGTGCACGTTTTAAAAAAAAGACTAAATGGGGATTTTCTACTAGCCCTGCCCATTAGTTTGTCAGACAGCGTCTCTCTCTGTGAAGTTAGGTTGAGATTTCCTTTCCAGCCTCCCCCTTATCTTAGTCTGCACGTTGCTTCTCGGTGACTAATACCACAATAACATTGTCTAAGGATAATATAAATTGAGAGCTGTTTATAAACTCTATGGCGATTCAATATAAAAAGGAGGTAGGAATCTGGAAGCATCACAATCACTTTGAGACCTCTCTGAGAACTAACAGGTCCTGAGTGCCTTCTCCACTTTGGATACCTGATTGAGAACACTTTGTACTTTAACCAAGGTGATATAACAAGGCATTTAAACTATTTATTGACTTTTTATTGGGATTACCATTTTCAGTTGTTATTTTTTTTTCCACTATCATCGAGAAGATATATATATATATATTTTATTCCAGTCTGATGATGGATTTAGAAACGATTATTTATTTCTTGGTGGCTCTGCTTGAAGTGACTTCAGGAACAGGTACAGTAGTTGTTATGTAACTTTAACATACTTTAATACAAACACGTTTTAATGAAATTTCATTAGCCACTTTGATTTAGAGATTTAAATTGTATCCAATACATTTAAATGATTTGCAGAAATATTGTTGAACTTAAATGCAAGGTTGACTTTATTTTGAATGTACATGGCTGTACACTTTGTTGGAGACAATTCACAAGACACTTTAGAACTGGCTTGAGCAAGTTGGTTTTTTTAACAGGTATTTATCAAAATCTCCAAATCGTCTTATTTTTTTTTATTTATTTTTTTAACGTAAAATAGATGGTCTTACAGAATAGCACCTGAATCCAAATTCTTTTGTAGAAGTGATTGCCCCGGGCTGATGTCGGTACAGTGTCAGCGTGAATATTATTGAATAGAAAGTATGATATTCTAAGTTAGACTTTCAGAATGCTCAGTACTTTGTCAGATCTTATGAATCATCTGATGTATCTCTGAAACCTTTATATAGGGAGAGCTGAATAACGAATTCAATGATTCGTTTTAATAGAGAATTGAAACATTATATCGATTATTTTTCTCTTTTGATGGAGTTCTGCATCATTTAGATTTGAACCGATTCTGGACCATATGCACCTGTGTGTGTTTACTGTTCCCAATAAATACATTTTTGGATTATTTTAGAAAGATGATAATTAGAAGGTGTTTTGTGACTTGCTAGGTCCCCGTCTTCTTATTGTGTATAAATAAGTAATTAAAAGGGGTAGATTTCTGAACACAATGCATCATTCCCATAAACACTAGCTAATTGTTGCTGCACGTTAAGCTGCTGTTTAGTGGCGATTTATGGATCTAGTGCAGAGAGCTGCAGGTCTGGTTTATGGGAGAGATTCACACAGAGATCAAGCTGACAGACAGGCAGTATAACAAGAGAACTAGTTCTGGGTGTTCCAGGCTGAGCACTCCATTTATAGAGCACACATGATCTGGGAGAATGGGCTGATGGAGCATGGATTGTGCAATTAAATAATAGGGTATGGACACTGGATTTGCCCTGGCTTGTGTGAAGTGATCCAGAGTAAGGTGTGATCACAGGCACACTCATACTGCAATGATGGAAAATGAGCACATTATATAGTATTCATAATATATAATCCGCACTGGTAACATAAACTGCCAAGCATGGTACTACTAATACACTGTATACTGGCTGATTGTTTTCACTGTTTATATAGAAATAAAAATGATATATTGTCAATGTTACAAGTGTTAAACAATGGTGTAGATATAGTCAGGATTAACATGTTAATGTAAGAGTACTGTAGGAGTACTATCACAGTAGCTGTTAGTAGGAAGGGTCTAGATATGGAGATACCGGTCTCTAGGACACTGGCTGCGATATTAGTAGAGGTACTGTGGTCTAAGTCATAGCGTTATAGAGGTGTCTAGGGTACTAATGGTTGGGGTGGGTGATATAGAGACACTGGATTACCAGTTTTATCGGTAACGTAGGGGTATTGTGGTATTATTGAGTGGATTTAAGGAAACGAAATTATTAGGGTACAACGCTCATCTGTAAGGTTGGGTTTAAAGTTAGTATTTAAATATTGGGGTACCATGACTGGCTAAAGGTTAGAATAGAGATATTGGGGTACCATGATTGGCTTTAATGTTATTATAGAGATTGTAGGGTACCATGGTTGGGTTTAAAATTTGTATAGGAATACCGGTGTACCATGGCTGGCTTTAATGTTCATATATATATATTGGGGTGTAATGATTGACTTTAAGGCTAGTATAGAAATATTGGAATACCACGGTTGGCTGTATGGATAGTATAGAGGTGTCGGGGTACCATGGTTGGCTGCATGGATATTATAGAGGTATCGGGGTACCATTGTTGGCTGTATGGATAGTATAGAGGTATCGGGGTACCATGGTTGGCTGTATAGAGGTGTTGGGGTGCCATGTTTGGCTGTATGGATAGTATAGAGGTATCGGGGTACCATGGTTGGCTGCATGGATATTATAGAGGTATCGGGGTACCATGGTTGGCTGTATGGATAGTATAGAGGTATCGGGGTACCATGGTTGGCTGCATGGATATTATAAAGGTATCGGGGTACCATGGTTGGCTGTATGGATAGTATAGAGGTATCGGGGTACAATGGCTGTAAGGGTAATATTATATATATATATATATATATATATATGGGTAAGGTGTTTATAGAAAGCTATCTCAAGTTACTGTTTTTTCCATGACACTGGCTAAAGAAGGATACGTTTCTCTGAGAGACTTGGTCGGGTTGAGGTGACAGTGGGAGATCCCTGGAGCTGTTGGCACTATATGGAGTATTATTATTATTATTATTTATAAGGCACCAGTAAAGTCTGTAGCGCTGTACAATAGGAGTATACCGAATATGGGGAAATACTGTGTACAGAGGGATGTTCATGTCAGGGTAAGAAGATACAATATACACAGATACAGTGCATTCAATGTTGGGGAAATAGTGCTAAGTGCGGCTGAATATAGATTGCGGATGGGGAGTGCTTTCTGGGCCAATCGATACTTCTCTGTGTGGTATTGATGGGTGTTGTTTGTGCTATTGATTAGTATTGATGCATTGCTAGTAGTAATGTCAGTGGGTGCAGCTGCTATACCCCTGACATAGTACATAGCTCTTTAGTATGCTCTGTATACAGAACCTGTGTATCCCAACTCCCATTACTCCATACACTTCTCACCGGCATGCCCTAACAATCACTGCTTACATAACCCAGCAAATAGTACTGTCAGCCTGTCACACATATTGGTATTTTCAACTAAAAATGAACATGTTGACATTGACCTTTTTAACATATCCCAGCGGTGTGCAGCCAGACTGAGTGGCACTCAGAGGGTTAATCATGGCTTGTGGTGTAGTGAGCTATACTTTGTAGCTATGTCCTACTGCCTATGAACCATCAGTATTGTTTAATATAGAACGCTGCAATTTACAGTGACTATAGATACAATGTGACAAGATTCTGTGCCTTGCATGACTCATACTCATACAATATCGCTTTAAATTTCACCTGTAATGCCAGCATTTATCATCAAGAGTTAAATGTGAGGCATTCTCAGCTGACATAATCTTTCTTTTGTTTTTTACAGTGTCAGGCGGCATCATTTCAATGCCTGAAGATGGGGCTTCAGTTCCAGCTGTAAAGACTGATTCTAGCTCCCTTCCTAGCGCCCCCTGGCGACCACGAAGGTTTAAACGCTGTTCCTGCTCCTCACTTATGGATAAAGAATGCGTGTACTTCTGCCACCTGGACATTATTTGGATCAACACACCTGAGTAAGTCAGTTGCCATGCACTTAGACTCTCTTCCTACTTGCACAGTAGTTAAAAGCACTTCAGACTTTCATGCATTGTATTCATATAATGGATGATCATTGATCATAACAATTATTCTACCAGCCTACAGTTTAGCTCATAAGAGAGGGGCAAGGCTGGGATTTATTAGAAAAAGATTGAGAAAGAGAGAGGGGGAAAAAAAGAAAATATGGATATGCATACGTAAGAGACATTGCTAGTAGCTCATTATGGAATACTGTTAGATTAAGTAACATTATTTTACAATGAGGGCAATTAATAAAAAAATCTAATGTTTTGGGAGACACTTTATAGGGAGAAAATTGACACGATGGGATAAATGCTTAGGGATTTAGCAATCATAACCCATTAAAGTCTGAAATTGACAGCTGGTAATGACCATTTGGCACACCCCAGTCTCGACCAATTTGTCTGCTTTCTCTAAAATGCTGAAGCTTACTAGACATTTTTTTTTTTTTATTGCTATTTCATAACTGCTCTGCCTATCCCTGTACTTAGAAATGCTTTGCTGGATTTCCAGCCAAAGTACTTACAGCTCTATAATAATATCTCACTAGTAATTACGGATAGAGTCCAAGTGGCAGTTAACTCTTTGAGTCGCCATATTAATGAAAAATAAAAGCATTAAAAAGTTAATAGATTTATCATGTTAAGGACCAATAATATTCAATGTCAGTAGACGATAATCATCAGATCGCCAGCCTTTGAAGCATTTCAACCCCCACAATGCTTTTCAATCCTTAATAAGAGCTGGGTATCCACCATTTTGCCACCTGTAATCTGGGTCATACTTGCAGTCTGGTCCGTAAAGATCCTTCTGAAACATAGAATGTCCTACTTGGCATTGGCAGGACACTAGATGACTGCTGTTACTAAATATGCAGGGCATTGCAAGTGTTAGATTTTTATGAAAATGTATTCAGGCCCTATAACTGATGCTTAAAATAGGAAATCACTAAATAGGTACAGATATAAGTTTGAGAAGTGGGTAAAAATGTAGAGATATCAATCAAAGTCAAGTCATAAAGGAGCAACACCAACCTAGAAAATGGGACGTTGGTTTTCCTTGAGGAGTAGGTTGGAACTGAAATGGGTTTTTAATGAAGAAATATTCTAAACATATCTGACTCAAGGTTCATTCTTCATTCTATCCGATGTGTCATTGAAATAATCTTTTAAAATAAGCAACATGGAAACCTTTCATCTTTAATCAGGTTTAGTCTGTGAGTGCCATAATGCTTGTATAGAAAGACGGGTAATTGATTATAATACTCCCAGTATTAGCTCTATGAACCATGGACATGTCAAATGAATACACATATTTGTTTTAATATTTTCTATATAGTGACAGGGCTATTCACTAAAGTATGATTTCTTGGAAATTCCAAAGGTTTTCAAAGTGAATTTCAAATTATAGACCAAAATAATATATCTCAAACTATTCTCCAAGTCAGCTGTGGTTTCAGTGCAGCTAGTTTGTCCTAACATTTCACATTCACTATGAATTCCTGCCAGTTCTTATACTTTAGTGTATAACTCTCTATTTGAAGAAGATATTTATAGATACACAGTCTATAGAAAATTTTACCTCCTCGGCTTTTCATCTTATAGTAAAGTATAGAATTGCTCTTTGTGTTTTGCTGTTGTTTATTTTAACAACATTTTAAGATAAATGCAGTTCCAAACACAAGGCAAATCCGCAATGTTAAAATAGACATCACTTCCTCTATTAATTTGAAACTTGCCCAAGATTTCACGTTTACATTGAATAGACAATCCTAGCTATAGAAATGACATGGCTTTTGAAAAGCATTAGCTGTTGACTAGTCTGATTGCCTCGCACTGATAGCGTAATGTGCTATACTGTAAATATTTGCTTTAATTCTTACCTCTTGGGCATGTACAGTAAAATGTTCCTAAAGTATGATTTAACAACCATTAAGAAGTTATTAATGAAATACAGGTCACAGCCTGTGTAACTTACTGGTATGCTACTGTGAAACCAAGGCTTGCAATTTGTGAAATTGTATATAATTAAGTGAATGGAAAATTAAAGCCTTTTAGTACAGAGGTTGCAGCTCTGTGCGCTGTGTGGGAAGTTTTGATTTTCTGATATTTGCCAAGTATTGATTGGATTAGGCATTCAAAAACAAAATGTGTGTAACAGACCGTAACAGATAAATTAAGAACGATATGGTCTGTCAATGTGAGGATTGTATTTTCCCCCCACAATATTTAATCATCATGCTTCGTCTATGTTGTTATAGATCTTGTGTGACCTAATTTTGATAATTAAAACTAATAAAAAGTATTAAGGGTGATATTTATTTATTTTATAGGAGAACTGTTCCTTATGGTCTCGGAGGTCCTCGTATGAGGCGGGCAATACAGGACACAGACACAGAATCAGTCCTTCAGTCAACAAGCCGATGTATGTGTGCCAAACACACAGACAAGAAATGTATGGACTTCTGCCAAACTGCAGAACTCAGGTGTGTGCAAATATTCTATCTAAAGAATTTCCAAAGCTAACTTTATGTACACCTGCAGCTGAGACTTTCCTTATCTAAAAATGTGTTGTGAAAAGGTGTTTCTACATTAGTTATATACAAGGCTCTTGTTTTTTTTCAATAGTGTCCAGAGTTCTCAAGAAAAAGAAAACGGACACGTTCAAGAGGCCACAAAATGCAGTGGTCTTCGTCTCGGAGCACAGTGCATTCAGAAACAACTGCAAAGAACTGAAAAGATGAAAAGGTGAGAGGCCGCGTTGTGTATTTGCTGATCTCTTTAAATAGCACACTGGTTAATCTGGCTTCTTACGTATAGTGACATCTCCTATGTGCATTAGAAAGTTAATAGAATTGCTGAGCCTCTCCCAGCTCTATCAACATTGTCACCTTAAAAATTGTTATATCCTTTGCACACAAACCATGATGTATTCAAAAGGTGCTATGTTGATTCTGCTGAAAATCCAGTCTTTAGTGACATGTTCAACATGTTCAAGTGACAAAATGTTGAACAAGTCACAGAAGATGTAAGCTGCAAACTACCCTGTGTGTTAAGGTAATGCTTCACCCTTTAAGGGCCAATTGCATTTCATGCCGTATTTTCAATCTGGTCCCTAATGACCTAAATGCCAACATGCTTTTTATCACAGGTAAACAGTTGGGGTGTGTTTTATATTCTTAAAAGCTTGTTTTATGCATTAAGCATACCATCATTGGTCCTTAAATGGTTATGAATGATTGTCAATACATCTATTTTTTTTAAAGTCATAAATAGGCCAACAGTTACAAGTATGTTGTTTGTAACATTCAAGAATATTTTATGTTTGAAAATGTTGCCATTGCCCCATCCATATTTCAATTAACAAAAGTAATTTTTCTTGGCAGATCGGAAGACATTAAGAATTCAATTGAAAGAGCATTTGTCTATGCTAGGCTCATGAACACAGTTAATGAAAAGAAGGACGAAACACACCACAGGACACACAAAAAGAGAGAAATATGGAAACACACAAAAACAACATCATAGTAACTAACTGTTAACTGAAAAAACGGAAAAAAAAACGTGGGAGGCATTTCTACGAGCAATAGACTTGCCTTTGGTCAATTCTACTTGATAGTTCAATGCATGGAGGACACTTAACATTTAATGCTGCCATTGGTTGAAGAACTAAAGTCCAACTTGAGGAATAAGATAAACCAACATCTACAACTATTGAACCATATAAAAGAAAAATAATAAGCCTGAACAACTGAGAGCATGTATTGCCAGGTTAGGGAGTATAATGTTACTGGACCCATTGCTTGGAAGGATCAACATGAATCAAATGTTGGGTGGACAACCAAACAAACAGAGTTTCAAACAGCCATCAGGAAAACACTGGATGATAATATTTGGAATTCTAACCTTATCTCCACACCCAAGTAGCTGCACATGGAGGTTTTTGTGCATTGCAGATGGACAATCAAATAAATTGCAATAATTGAGGAAATATTTCATGTATACAAGTCTACCTCAAATGTAACACTCAGAAGGGCTTCCGTTCTGTATTTTAGCTTGGCCTGCAAAAACACCTCTTTGTCTTAAACTATTTTGTGTTTTTACTTTTTGTTATTTTTTTTATTTTATTTTAAATAATTCACTGGAGCAAATCAAATCTTGATATGTAAAGAGACTTCTGGTTTGCTTTGTGGTTTGCCACGTCAAGCAGAGAGTGGAGATGAGTTTAGGAGATTGTTCATGCAAGCTAAAAGTTGGGTAATTTGTAGCAGCGGTGAAACTGATTGCTTCATAGTCATCTCCTGTACTTTAATTAAATTTATTATGTGAATATTTTTTAAAATAAATATTTATATTATTATTTTTAAAGACTATATTTACTATGTTAAATATACATTGGGACAGGCCATATTGGTCTATGCATGTTGTATTTCTGTATGAAAAAGAGCTTTGATGATAAATATGTTAAAATAAATATTTTGTAACCAGATCACTCTGTATGCTGCGTCTTATTCTGATTTCATGTTATATAAAATGCAGATCTGACTACAGACTTAAAAGCTGAGTCTTCGGGTTTTGATTTAAACATGAGTTGCTCATACTCACAAAAATTATGAAAACCTAAATTATGAAGTAAAGGCATTATGTGCAAGACAGAAGGAATAACAACAGGGCATATACAAAATGGATATATTGGATATAAGTGACAACAGAAAGTTGCCATGTTGTTACAGTGAGCTATCTTATTATGGCGAAGTAGTGGAAGCTTCTGTTGATGTCAACAGAGCAAGTATATTGGATGAACTTTGCGTATAATTAGGATTTGCTTATTAGACAACATCACGCCCATTATGATTTGCATGATAGGATCCAGGGATAGACAATCTTCAGCACTCCAGATGTCGTAGACTCAAGACACACCAATGGTCCAGGGATTGTCAGTATCCCCATTGCAACCCAACTGGGAAATGCTTCAATCCTGGACTTTAATATTGCTTTTGTGCTTTGGGGAATGGGTTGGAAAATGCCAGTCCAGTGCTATCAAGTAATTGTGGTCTTGACGCATGGGTTTCCTTACCAAAAAAAAAAGGAAACATTGTCCTTTTTCTGTTGGGGCATCGCATATTTGGCCTTCTTCACTAGTGTTAAAGATCTGAGCTCAAATAGAACACCTCATCTAAACATCTATTTGATGTCTAGCGTAGTAAAGTGAAACACAGGGGTATAGGAAACTTCACTTTCTTTTCTGTCCCTCTTTCAGGGATGCAAGATCAGGGACTCTAATGGATCTCCATATCTCCTGCCATGGTATAGTCCCAAAGCTTGGCTGATGTGGGAACCGGTTTGATGATCTTTCTGTGCATATTATACCTTAGACACTGTTGTTATTTTCAGGTTTTCTGAACGAACTAGTTAATCAATCCAGGATACTTGTGGAGTCTTTTTCATTGAATCCCAGACAGATGAGTTCAAGGATAGATTAAAAGGAATTTGATTTGTTTCACAGAAGCTAAAAACAATTTTTATATGAAGTTTAGTGGACATTGTCATAGATTTTTTAATCATTGATGAGAATCTGCAAATGTAGTAATCACTCTAGATTTGGTATGTAGATCCTATGAAGTTAAAGGGACCTTCAGGTGCACTCACATGGCCCAATACTTGATTGTGAGGGTAGAATGTTTAATGAGCCAGAGAACTGGGAACTCCCAGGCTAAAAATATAATCATTTCATCTCATCACACTGGATATAGGGTAAAAGTCATAGATTAACTAGAAACAGACAAAACAGCACTCAGGGTGTGAGATTAGAGGGAACCCTTAGCAGCACCTCAAGTGATAAAGCAGTCATGGGATTTCTGACAATTTTTATTCAGCCTCTAAACTACTGTCCATGATGTGGGGGCTGGGTAGACATTTATTGTCTGCTGACATTTTATATTAAAAACGCAATCCCACAGGCGACTAGATATAGAAGGAGCAGGGGAAAATCTGCATGCTTTCCCTTTCATTGTAATACCGATCATCACTCCACAGTATGTGATCAGGAAACAGTTATCCTACCCTATTATGCATAACATATTATTGCTTTGTTATATGTTTGTTTATGTTGCTTATTGTAGTCTAGTTGGGTATCTGGATCTAGAACAAAGAGAATGTTTCCAACATGTTTTATGAAGTCACCATAGTCACAGTAGAGAAAAGGGAGAGTTTCAGACATCCAGTCTATGCCTGGATGAGAAAATTAAGGGGTAAGAGGTAATTAAATATATTATACATATATTAAACATTAAACCACAAACTTATAAAGTTTCATTAACTGCATTCCTCGTTTATAATTACCTCATCATCTCAAACGCACTCACACACTATAAAATTATGTGGTACATTTTATAATTAGGCACTGACATTTACCACTTCTTTTTGGTTGTCATAGCTAGTCCTTTGCAAATAACATAAAAAATATATACTCTAGAGTTATTTACAGACAAAACATTCTTCAAATATTTAAAATGCTACACATACGAATAAGAATTTTAGATGCAATTTAATGAAATTGGCTTCTGTTAATTAGACTTTCCATGAAGATGATTGTGGAGAGGATTGTGATAGAACTTCCCTGTCTTGTATATTTGTGTATGTGTGTATGTATGTATGTATATATATATATATATATTTTTTTTTTATTTATAAACCACTGAACCACACTAAACTATTATTTGTACATGTTTGTTTAATGCTTACTGGGTAGCTTTACGGTATAAGATAGCAGCAGCAAATGTATTTATGTATATATACACATTGACATATGTTCATGTATTCATGCTTGACTACATCTTCTAGTTAGACACAGGGTACTTTTCTTGGACTACTGCCCTTGCATGATTATTTAAGACTCTGTAAGTAGAGGTTGTTGGAGCAATTTGATCTATACCAACTTGGCCTGGCTAGAGGAAAATCAGGCACTTATGTTTTGAAGACATGGCAAGTCAACTTCACAATGCGTATTTACAATAGAGAGGATATGGTTCTTAGAATAAATGATTAGAACTAATTTTTTTAGATGGAATTTTCTAAATTAGACTCCATGTCTAATGGCTACAGGCCATAAGTCTAAAAGATCTGCATTGCACTCTGACTTTCACCAACTGTAAATTTGTTTCATAGAAAGTTAACTCAAAAGTAGTGCAAGACCATATCCCAATGACTTCAGTCAAGAGGACAAGTGCCAATATGAAGAGATATAGGCAGTTGTTTTCTAGGACATTGATATTTTCATCCATCCTGACCTCAAGCTACCATTAACCATGGAACTGTATGCTTAAAGGAACACTATAGCGTTAGGAATATAAATATGTATTCCTAACGCTATAGAGCCCTAGTCACCGTTCCACAGCGAATAAATGGTTTATTTGCTTATATGGTTTATTTTTATTGCTTATATGGTTATAGTGAGGGGGAGGGGTATGTTTGTTGGTGTATGCCTCGTGCCTATGGGCGGATGGGTCTTCAGGTGGTGGGGCGTTCACGTCTCTGTTTGGTTTGGTGTGGTTTGGTGTGGTTGGTGTTCTGAGGGTGTTTTGTTAGAATTTGTGGGTCCTCCCAGGTTTGATTTGTCATGCTTGGGTTATTTGTATCCCCTCGTATTGGGGCGTTTTGAGGTGATGAGTGGTGGTAGGCGTGTTTGCGTGGTGTTCTCTTTATGTTGTATGTTCGTGTCAGTTGCTCGGGTGTGTGTTATTTTTCTCTGTTGTCTTTTTCTATGGGTTGTGGTCTTTTGTTTCACGTACTGCGTTGGCTTCTCATATGTCCAGTCGTGTTGTAGATTTTGTTGTTGTTTGAGGTATGTGTGTTAGTTCGATCTCCGAGTTTGGTGGGGTTATGTCTGCTATGCTGGGTGTCTAGTTCGTGGGCTTGGTGCGGTCCTATTGAGTGTGTGGTTATTTCCCGGAAGGTGATCATTCCAGTGTTGTGTGGGCTGCGTTATTAGGTGTGTCAGGCTGATCATGCTTGTGTGGTGATATTCATATGTCTGTACGGGTGTGTGCTTGTGTGTTGTGTGTGTGTTGTGGAGGGTGTGTGTTAAGATATGTTGATTCTGTGTCGTTTGGGTGCTGTGTGATGTTGGCGTTTGTGGGAGTTGGTGTGTGGTGTTGTGTAGAAGTTTGGGTCGGGTGGGGTAGGGTGGGGAAGGAGTGGATGCGCTAGGTGTGGTGCGAGGAGAGTGAGTCCTCCCCCTCAATCCCCATCTCCTACGGCCATGGCCCCTCCACCTCATTTTGCCATGTAGATTATCCATGGTTGCCATTTGTCTACGTGTTTTGAGAGAGTGTCTGTCAGGGTCGCGTGCATTTCTTCAGCGGGTCTGATATCTTCCACTCTGGTTAGCCATTGTTCCATCAAGGGGGCCTTGAGTTCGTTTCCAGAGAGTAGGGATGACTGCCTTGGCTGCGTCAAGGAGGTGGCGTAGGATAAATCTTTTGTATTTCGAGATCGAGTCTCGTGTGTGGTGGAGGAGTACATTTTCCATAGTCAGTTGTGTCGCGTCCCCTAGGATATCCCTGATGCGGGCTATAATCTGGTTCCAGAATGGTTTGATTTTGGTGCATTCCCACCAGATGTGTTTTACTGTGCCCATGTCCGTCTCGCATCTCCAGCACGTCGCTGGGGTGTTGGGAAATATTCTGGTTAGGAGGTCCGGGGTTCTGTAGCAGAACGTTAGTAATTTGTAATTCATTTCTTGGTATGATGTGCTAATTGAGGATTTGTGATGGAGAATTAGAATTTGGTCCCATTGTGCATCTGTGAATGTCCTGTCTGTGAGGTGTTACCATTGTCTCTTAGATGGCAGAGCTGTCTTTTGGTTGTTCGTGATCAGGTACTGGTAGAGTGTTGATGTCAGTTTCTGGATGGTCGTTTTTTGGTCGCAGGTTTCTTCGAACCACGTGAGGGTTCTGTGTATTGCGGCTCTATCTGGTAGTGTGTGATAGAAATGTTGTAGTTGTGTGTATCGGTATCTTTGCATGGGAGTCGGTGTGCCCTCTACCAGTTGGTCTAGCGGAGCCAGTCCGGTGGCGGTCAATGTTTTGTGGATTCAGATGAAGTCTCCTCCCTCCAGGAAGCTCCAAGCCCTTGCCGGTAGTCCTCCTCCTAGTTGTTGGTTGTCCGTTAGCGTGGTCATTGGGCTAAGTGTGGGGGAGACATTCGTTGTTTTCCACAGTGATGCCCATGTCTGAAGGGTTTGACTCACCGGGGAGAGTTTGTTGAGTTTGTCCTGTGCTGTCGTTGTCGTGTTCCATACAGTGGTGAAGATGGTTGGGCCGGTGGATGAGTCTCTATCCAGGGTCACCCATTGCTTGTGACGTGGGTTTGTGTGCCATTCTAGGATCCGTTGCAGGGCTGTTGCACAATGGTAGTTCTGCAGATCTGGGAGAGCTAATCCTCCGCTTCTTCTGGTCTGGCAGAAGAGTTCATATCGCAG